TCTGCGATTTGGAGTCACCATGAAAACAAGCCTCTGGGCATGTCTACAAGGGAGTTTCTAGCATGAAGGGGTTCTGTCAAAAGATTTTTTTAGAATCTAATGAGGTGATTATTTGGAGGTTTTTTTCTTTCAGTTTGTTCATATAGTGAATTACATTAACAAATTTTCCTATGTTGAACCATCCGTGCATCTCTGTGATGAATCCTACATGATCATGGTGAATGATTATTTTTTGATGTATTCTTAGATCCAGTTTGCCAGTAGTTTATTGGGTATTTGTGCATCTTTGTTGCATCTTTGTGTGGTTTGGGTATTAGGGTAACTGCAGCTTCATAAAAGGAGTATGGCAATGTACCTTCTGTTTCCATTGTGTGGAACAACTTTAGGAGTATTGGTATTAGCTCTTCTTTGAAATTCTGGTAGAATTCTGTGCTGAAATCATCTGGCCCTGGGCTTTTTTGATTAGGAGACTTCTAAAGACTGCTTCTATTTTTTATGAGTTATAGGTCTATTTAAATTGTTTATCTGATCTTGATTTAATTTTAATATGTGGTACCTATCCAGAAAATTGCCCATTTCTTGCAAATTTTCCAGTTTTGTGGAGCACAGACTGAGTTAACTCAGAGGGAAGTAGCCACCTTAGATATGAAAGCCCCATTCCATAAGTGAGGGTCCGACACTGAATAAAACAATAATGAGCCAAGCATCAGCGTTTAACTCTCTTTGTTTTTTGACTGTAGACACAAAATCAGCAGCTGCCTGCAGGTGGTGCTGGCATGGTTTTCTTGCTACGATATGCTGTGGTCTGGAATTGGGAGCCAACAGAATCCTTCCTTCCTTAACTTTTTTTTGTCAGGGTATTGTCTAGATCAACAAGAAAAGTAACAAATACACCCACCAGACATATTTTCATGTCCTTCCTGGTTGTCCCTCTGTTGCCTGGTGCTAAGGAACACTGGGACACTGTCTCCATCTTCCACCTGGATGAAAGCAGCAATGGATACATTCACTATGCATCTCTAAGATTCTATTTCTGATTCAGTAAAATGAGAATTTCACTAAGCTATTGCTTTAGAATTTAGAACTGATTTTTTTCTTTAATTTCCTTTTGCTTCTTATTCTGTGGCTCTTTACTGTTATTGTTGGTTTGTTTTGTCTTTTCTTGATTTGTTTTAATGGTTGATTAGTTGGTTGCTTGATTTTGAAACACAGTCTCACTATGTAGAGCACTATGTTTTCAAGCCTGTGATAATCCACCTCCCTGAATTCTGAGACTTCAGGCATATGCTATCATGCACAACTGTTTCCTTTTAAAACTTACCTTACCATTCAAGCAGATCTGTGATTAAATACCATTTAAATAATGGCATATATGATCACATAATACTGCAGACTTAAATTAATTCAACCACAGGTTTACTCTTCACCATTCCTAGGTACATTGTTAATTCATTTATATTTTCTTTTTATATGCACTCACTTGAACGGCATAGAGGTCTCTGGAAAAATTCACAAATAAAAAGGAAATAACAAGACATTTCTGTTCTAATTCTAAAAATGTTTGTTCTAGCATTTTCATTGTTTGTTCAGGTATGAACATGTGCAAACAAACTCTTCCCAAATGACGTTTTCTTTTTAAAAATTATGAAAGCGAAAATCTATTAAAATGTCAAGTTGACTCAGCCAGTGAATGCTCAAATTATATTCCGGATGTATTCTATGTTCAGCAAATAAAGCCAAAAGGTGGTTTATAGAGTCGCTAATTTGCTCCCAGGAGTCAACTGCCCAGGTCATGGCATCAAAATTAAGACTCTTTTGCATTGAGGCAGTTGTGTGATGGCTGATGTAGCTGCCCAGATTGGACTTTGCTGTTTAAAACTTCAGACCAACAAAAAATTGAAAAGTGATGAATGCAGGAAGTTGCTAGGCAGGAGGAATTGGTGTTTCTTATAGCTTTTCTCTATGTAACAATCGGCTTCCAAAAATAATGGTCCAAAGTATTTGTGTCCTAATTTGATAGGACAGAAACTGAGGGTGCAGCTCATCTGGGTAGTTTTCCTGCTGATGGGCTGTTCCATACAAAGAGCTACAGCTCCAATAAGCAGCTCTGGTGCTTGGGATTAGCTAGGGTTGGCCAACATGACAATGACTATGTGCTCCAATAGGGTAACGTTACTTTTTTCCTTACGTGGACCTCAGGTTCTGAGAGTATTGAGAAGGTAAGCACCAATGGCTCAGCATGTTAAATGCTTGCATTCTATAATTTTTTGTTGTACCAGATGACAGCAAATTATATATCAACATCTGGAGTCAATGTGAGAGAGGCCTTAGGCTCTGTTGTCCCTGCAACAAACTTTCCTTCCTGATTCCTTCACTTTCTTACACTTCTGGTTTTGTTGCCCAAGTTTTAAGATCATCAGACCTGTGTTTATAAACCCCCATAGTGTGTGTGTGTGTGTGTGTGTGTGTGTGTGTGTGTGTGTGTGTGGTATTTTATATTATATATTCAAGTGTTTAAAGAATTTCTCTTTCTTATTTTTTGTTTCCCTTTGTTTTTTTAGACATGGTCTTACTCTGTAGATTAATATGAGCAAGAACTTACTACACGGCCCAGAATAACCTTAAATTTGGGGTATTCTTTTTACCTCAGCCTGCCAAGTGTATTGGTACAGGCATGAAAATGAGACCCAAATAAACAATTTCTTTTAAATGTTTTCAAGGTCAAAAAAAGTCAGCAAAGTATTTGAGTTGTTACCATCTTTTATAGATATCCAGATTACTCTAAAATAGAACTTATAAAGTATAGCTGGCGTCTTTTCTATGTTCTTCACATCTTTTTCTTGTGATAAAACACCTGGGAAAATCCCTTTCCCAAATCCTAAAAAGAAGAAATGTTTATTTTGGCTCACGGGCTGTGAGAGTTCAGTCCATGCTTACAAAGTCCCACACTACTGAACCTAGAATGAGAAGAAACATAGCAGAGAACACAACTTCTTCATGTGTGCCAAGAAGCAAGGACCAGGGTCAGAGTCAAAAAAAGCCCATCAACCGGGCGGTGGTGGCACATGCCTTTAATCCCAGCACTCGGGAGGCAGAGGCAGGTGGATCTCTGTGAGTTTGAGGCCAGCCTCGTCTACAAGAGCTAGTTCCAAAAAGCTATGGAGAAACCCTGTCTTGAAAACAATCTGAAAAAAAAAAAAGCCCATCAAAGACTTCTATGGCTCAGCAGGTCCCATATCCAAACAACCCTGTTCAGCACCAACATGAGCTAATCACCTCTCAATAGCACCACCCTCTGGGAACCAAGTTTTCAATACTTGAGCCTTTGGGAACATTTCAGAGCCAAACCTTCACAGATGAGAGGGCATTGAGACTGTGCAAAATTGGATGTCTGTAACAGAATGTTTATACAAGCAGAAGATGAGGTAAGGACTTGAGTGAGCTGGAAGGCAGAAGAAAGACTTCCTAAAATACAACAATAAACAGTGACAAGAGGGAAGAGAGGTTAATCAATGAAGAAGAAAAGTAAAATTGGGCAAAGGGAGAAAGTGAGAGATGATAGTAATACTAAAAAAACTCGGCCTCCTGAGCTGTCATCACTGGAATTATCTGAATTAGTGCTTGAAACGTAACAGCATCCTACTAAAACCAGGTTGAGGTACCCATCACCAATAAACCAATCAAAATAAAAAGTAATGATGAAAAAGCAGAAAAAGAATACTTAGTCTATATTACCACATTAGAATGAAGAACTGAAAGATCCAGTGACCTCCAAAGTTTGCCTTCCAGGGTTGGTATAAGGTTCAGGTTTAAATACAGGTCAAGGTGTGGTCCTGCTATCATTACTGTGTGCACCACTATCCAGTCTCCCCTGCAAGTGCTCCAACATGTTCTCAGCACTTTGTGAACTCACAAACTCCCCTCTGGTCATCACCAGGTGTCAGCCTTTTTCTTCTCCCAGGATGGGGTTTCTGGGGCACAAATATCTTCAATCCTGCCAGAATGGTTATACAGTGAGGTAAGGAAGGATTCCCTAAGAAAGAAAAGTAAATGGTTTAAGAAAAAAAATATTATTACCATCTTTTATAAACCCACAACTATATGTGGAAGGATTCCCAAAGTGGCATTGTTTATCCTGCTCACAGATAACTACCCCCAGTCAAAAGCACACACCTATAATTTGGCACTCACCTATGACCCAGTATCCAAAGCTGGGTGGCATCACAGGCTACCAGAACCATGAAGCACAGGGTCACCATTTACTGAAGTTAATGCTTACAGGACATTCTTTGGTCAGGTGATTTTCTAAGTATTTGATATTTATTTCTGTCTATAATAATTGATTTATGTGCAAAGTAATTCTTAGCTCATTTCTCATGTTGGTATGCGATCTTGTCACATATGTGTTTTAGTTTTTGACTGCATACCAGACTTAGAGGTGCTTCTGCTTGAGAATTGGTCATCTTTTGCTTCAGTAATGTTTATATGACAAACACGGTGGAGACATAACCCTTTATGTGTTACATCTGTCCAACTGTCAGCTGTGATCTAACAATGGTTCCTTTGGGATTGCCTGGTCTTGACTCCAGGTTGAGCTATTTCTGCTTCATATATCTCCTCTTCTAAAACTGAGGATTAGGAAGTATAATCTTCCTAATGAAACTTCATGGCAAATACGTTGGGGTTGGAGCACACCGATCCTCCAAACACCCTCACCCCAGACTGGTTTATTGTCCAGATCATTAATTAGTATAGGTCACATGGGCCAAATTCACTATCAATGGGACAAGCAACTGCAATCCACAGGGATCGTTCAAGACGAGAACAAAGATTTAGAATGAAATTACCTAATCTATACAGTCTGAAAATCTAACTTTTATCTTTTGAAATTAGTGTTGTGAGAGATAACGAAGATGATGTGATTAAATAATTTTAAAAAATGTCTTATCTTCTGGTGGCAAAATATAATAAAATGCCTATTTTCTTTTTGTATTTCACAGGTTTTTACATCATGTTTGGGAAGAAAAAGAAAAAGATTGAAATATCTGGCCCATCCAACTTCGAACACAGGGTTCATACTGGGTTTGACCCACAGGAGCAGAAATTTACCGGCCTTCCCCCGCAGTGGCACAGCCTGCTAGCAGACACGGCCAACAGGCCGAAGCCCATGGTGGATCCGTCATGCATCACGCCCATCCAGCTGGCTCCCATGAAGGTATGCAAGGACTCTGTCTTCAGGTTGATCTTGTCGGATTTAGTGTACCCTCTTTATAATCGCTCATATATTAGCCATCGTAGTCTTCATTTGGGAGCACATAAAAAGGAAATGTTGTCTTCAGATACTGATTATGATAAAAGCCAGGTATAAAATTAAACTATAAAATGAATTTTTATTTCTGTCAATAATATTTCTTTCCTCTGATAATATCAACAATAGCCCCAATCAACTATTTTGCTGGAGGACATATTTCTGTGGGACTCTATCTACTCTCAAAGTAGTTATACTTTCTATTATAAAAGATGTAATGATAACAGATTGCAATAGCAATAAATCATATTTGTAAATATATGCATATCCTCACATGTATGTATCCATATGTATTATTTCTATTATAAATATGTGTATCTTCAAATTTACCTTCACAGCCTAAGAAAGAACTAACTCAAATATTAGTAAATAATTTCAGTCATGAATAGGCTATAATTCACCTAAACCAGCAGCTGGTAGGTTTTTAACAAAGAATGTCGATCCTTTCCTTTTGTTACAGCCCAGAAATCATTCTAACTGATACAACAAAATGCAGAAACACAAATACAGGTCATCACACCTTCCACCTCACAGGAGCCATCAACACATCTTAATGTTTCATTTCTATTTCTTTTTAATTGTGAATTAGTATAATAGCAGAAATTCTAAATATTTTGATATATTTAAATTTTATATAACTATCATGATGTCACACTATGTAACTATCCTTGAATTTCCTTTTTTACTTAAGATTGAGATAAAAAATTCTGATTCATACAAAGTAATTGAATTTAGTTTAAATTGTAACTTTTATAACTTACTCATTTTTCTAGAGAAGCATGCTACAAAATATTGCTATAATAAATAAAATTATCATGAAAATATGAGTACTTGATTTTCATAGTGCAGTCTGAGAACCTCAGATTGTCAAACTATTCTCAGAGTAATGGAGAGTCATTTGTCACTTTTGTTACTTACGGAGGACACAGGAGGCTTCTCCAGAAAGTAACATGTGCCATGCTGTCATCGTTGACACCTAAAGGACCCTGAACTTTACACTTTTTAGCTTCATAAGCTTCTTATTTGGGTGGTGAGCACCCGTGCCTTTAATTCCAGCACTTGGGTGGCAGAGGCAGGCAGATCTCCAAATTCGAGGCCAGCGTGGCTTACAGAGTGAGATCCAGGACACCCAGAGCTACATGGAGAAACTCTGCCTTTAAAAAAGTAATAATAATAATAATAAGAAGAAGAAGAAGAAGAAGAAGAAGAAGAAGAAGAAGAAGAAAAAGAAGAAGAAGAAGAAGAAGAAGAAGAAGAAGAAGAAGAAGAAGAAGAAGAAGAAGAATGGTGATGATGATGTAGTGAAAATCAAAGTTTAAAATAATTTCTTGTTTTTTAATATATTATACAGTAGATGGTTTTTAATTCTCACATCAACAGAAGTCTTTTGGATCCTGAACAAATCTGGGGAGTTCTTAAAACCAAAAAGTTTAAGAACAATCGTCTGATGTTCATATCAAATGGTATAGTCTGTGATTGCTGCCCTTTGATCTTCATACTGTACTCATTTTGCTTATTTTAATTGTTCTATATGTTCATGAAAAGAGACTTTTGTCTTCTCTAGTTGACTGTTAGTGGTTGAGTCAGCATCAAGTCCAGAAAAATTACTAAATGTAATATTCTATTATAATTGAATACAATTTCTCTAACCTGACAGTTCAGAGTTATGTAAATGCTTATATCCTTTTAGACAATCCCTTATCTATTTTAGCGTCGTCAAAGAACTTCAAGGAATTTTCTTTTAGAGACTTACTCTATTATTTAATTATGTGGACTTGTGTGAGAGAGTATTTGTATGTGTGCATACTTGCATGTAGGTGTCCTTGGAGGCTAGAAGGGTGTCATTTTCCCTGGATCTGAAGTTACAAGCAGTTGCAAAACATCCAGCATGGGTGCTATGAAAAAAAATTCAGGTCTTCTAAAAGAGTAGCAAGTGCTTATAACCTCTGAGTGGTATATACATATATATATATATATATATATATTTAGAGAGAGAGAGAGAGACTAATTTCAAAGTTCCCATGTGTGTGTGTGTGTGTGTGTATGCTTTAATTGTTTGAGAATCTTATACAATGTATTTTGATCACATTTGGCTACCCACAACTCTTCCGAGACCCATTCCACCTCCATACTCACACAGCTTCATCTTTTCTATTTTTTTAAAATCCATGGAGTCTAATTAGTCTTTTTCAAATACCCCTGGGTTTAAGGCCTGTTTGGAAATGTGATTGAGCTAGCAAGAGTCATATCCTTAAAGAAAATTGGCTCTCCCTCTCCTAGAAGCTACCAATTGCCAATATCTCCTCAGTTAAGGGTGGGACGTCCCTTCCTGATGGGATCCCATCTGGCTTGAGCTTGCTCAGATCTTGTGCATGCAGTCACAATGACTGTGAGTCATGTGTTTGATCTTGTGCATGCAGTCACAATGACAGTGAGTTCATGTGTGCAACTGCTCTTTTGTGTCCAGAAAACACTTTTTCCTGTAAGCATGTGTCCACCGAACCTTTTAGGGAGATTTAGGGTGATTTAAAGGTCCCATTCAGGGCACACCACTCCATGTTCTCTACATTGACTGGCTGTGGGTCTCTATATTAATTGTCGTTGACTTCAAGAAGAAGCTTTTCCACTGAGAGTTGACCATGTGTGTACTGGTAAGTCAATGATTGCTCTTCAAAGCCTCCCAACAGTCTTCTCTTTATCCTGTGGAGGCTGAAGGTTGCCAAGCTGGCTCTCCTGGGTCATCTTCATCTCTGCAATTGTCAATATTTTATAACGTTCTGAAGTTGGGGTTTCTGTCTTCCTTTTTAAATCTTCTACATCTGGTAACTGCGTTAAAAATAACCTTGTTAGACAAAACAGGTAAAATCAAGAGAAGAGAACCTCCAAGTTCAGCTGTTGGATTTGGGGAGATCACTCCTTGTTTTCTCCTTCCTTATAGTTTCTGTCAGAAGAGCCTCAGTGAATGAGTCCTCCTTCATAGCTTTATAATTCTCTTTCTCCTTGCTCATGCTTCATACTGAGTCTAAATATCTTTAACTCTGTCAACACAGTCCAATGTCTGTGACAGTCTCTCATTCCTTTAATATGTTTTTAAATGCATGTTCCTAAACTATAGGACAGCTATATGTTTTCTAGCATTAGTGGGGCTATTTATTTTAGCGTCCCCTCTAATTACTGAGATTAGTCATCAAGGAATCAAACTATAGCAGATACTTGCCACACTTTTGTATGAAAGAGATTCCCAAAAACCGTGACAGTGAGGAGTAACCCAGAGAGACTCTTTTGACTTTGCCTGCTTTTTGCCCTACACTGTGGTCCTCACATCACCTTTCAGATTAACTCAGTGGCCTCTGTCCTCTTTATTGTCATCCTGATAGTTTCCATGTGCCATAGATTTAATCCGCTACAGCTTTCCTCTGCTTTAATATAGTTTTAGCTCTTTCTAGTTTTATAACTATCTCTACTGTGATACATGTTGGGTATAGAAGCATCTATTTTGGCTCTTGAAACGTGATGCCATAGTGTTTACCCAGCTGGACTTCTTCTTTCCCTTTCCCAATGTCTGCCTTGGTGAAGAAACACCGAAATTTACCTAACAACTAGGCAGACGTTAAAATGGGAAATATTCACAGCCAGGAAGAAGAAACAGTACAGAGACCCTGTGGCAAAAATAAGTTTAGTTGGTATAAAGGGAAAATAGAACACCTACAGGGGTGGGACAGAGAATGCCAGGGAAAGAGGAGGAAGATGTCGCCAGGTGGGAAGCAGTAATTGGACAGCAAAGAGTGCAGAGTATTTGGAAACTGTACTTGAGAGTGTGATGCCTGATAATCCTCTACAGGTGAAAGCTACGAGTTTTGCATCCAGAAATTATTCTCTTAGGAAATTAATGGATTCATTTAAAGGTCAGATCAAATTGAAAGTTTACCTGCCATGCTGATCTAACATATAATCTTGCAGGTTAGGGGTGGGAGTCATCACTGAAAGGTGTGAAAAGTTGAGCTCCAGGAAGTCCTTCCAGCTCTATGATTGCCAAAAGAGGGCTGAGAAAAAAAAAACACAAAGCTTTTTTAGAATAAATAGCGAGTTCATTGAGATGATTTCAGTGGAAACAGAATGTAATTATAAGATGGAACCTGTCTGGAAGCTCAACCTTATTTTAAAACTATTTGTAAAAATTCCACTTCAAAAGAGCTGCATCCATGTGTATCTGGATGATCAGAACCAAGGCTCCCACCAGGAGGACAGATGGCAAATCCTCTGTCAAAGCTTCTCATACTGCTACACTTCCAGAAGCCAGTGAAGACAACAGGCTCTCCCATACTTTCCCATGCCTTTTATTTTCAAAACTCACTTCAAATAAAAAATGTCTTTGCAACCAGCCCACCAGCATGGGGACTGGGAAACTACATCTCACCTGCCGAATCTACGAAGCTGGGTAAGAGAGACCGCTTTTCACCTGGGAGAAAAGAGAACACGCAAAGCCTCTCCATGCATGAGTCCCCCATTGCTGGAGCTGCTGACAAGTTTTTGACTCTTAAGTTAATCTAGACTTCAAGTGTACACCCTGGGGGCTGGAGAGATGGCTCAGAGGTTAAAAGCACTGGATACTCTTACAGAGGTCCTGAGTTCAATTCCCAGCAACCACATGGTGATTCACAACCATGAGACTTGGCAGCCTCTTCTGGCATGCAGGCACACATGCAGGCAGAACACTGTATGCATAATAAATAAATAAATAGATCTTTAAAAAAGAAAAAACAAAGTGTATACTTTGTTGACATATCCTCTCTTCCACAAATCAGTCTCCCACTTCTTCCCTCTTTTCTCTCCTCCCGTCTCCCTCTTCATCCCTTCTTACACTGTCCCTGTTTTCCTCTCCCTCACTGATTCTAAAGTTAGAAAGT